GTCAGGCTTGGTGATAAGTGCCATTCCCAGGAAGCAATCCTGGAAGACCAGAAGTTCTTTACATATCATAGATAAAACCTTTATCTTAAAATCTATGGATTCTTGGAGTAGATAAGAATAGAGTTCTTCATGGATATGAAATATGGAAGGCAGAGGACTCTGAGGTTAGCACCTCCACTTATATAAGTTGTCCTCTGAAGTCACTGATGGCTGGAAGTCTCACCTGACAGACTTCAAATAGAGTCCATTTTTCCCATATTGACCTTTGAGAACAACCCTTCTCTGAGTGAAAGCAAAATCATTTGTGTAAACAAAACTGCAATAGTCCAACTCCAGTCTCTGGAAATCATCCAAATGAGTGCCAGTCTCACATAGATAAATGACCCTGTTAAAGTTTAAGGAGCTGTGGGTGGGTGAGTCTTTTAGATGTCATGTCAGGAAGTCTGTTTCTCCACAGAGTAAGAGTCAGTGGCATTGAACAGAGCTTCTCTGGTGAGCAGGTATTCTCAGCATGGATGAGGCTGGTAGACGTGGGTGCCTCCTGAGCACAGACCAGTCTGTGTTTCATAACATAACACGTGTTTCTGGGTATTTATCTCTTCTGAGATTTACCTTTTCCATCTGTAAAATGGAGATATACATATTATATATATTTTATTAAATACCAAGTGTTCTCCCAAAGAGCTCATGTGTTGAAGTCTTGCTCACCAGCTGCTGAAACCATTGAAATGTAATGGAGTCTTCAGGGGAACAACTTCATCCATAGTCTGATGATGAGTTTACAACTGGATGGATGGACAGAAAGTGGTACCTGGTTAGAAGAACTAGGTTGGTGGGTCATCTTCTAATGGATTTATCTTGTCCCTCAACCCATTATCATTCTCTTTATGCTCCATTCTATGATGACAGTCAGACTAGAACAACAGCGTGGAATGAATCAACTTGTAAAGAATTTGAACCAGCCAGTTGTAGTGGCGAAAATCTTTAATCCCAGCACTGAGGAGGCAGAGGCGGGCAAATCTCTGTATTCAAAGCAAGACTGGTCTGCCTAGTGAGTTCTAGGACAGCCGGAACTATGTAGTGAGGCACTGTCTTAAAAATAAAATAAAAAGAAGAGGAAGAGGAGGAAAGAGAGAAAGACAGACAGAGAGAGAAAGAGGAAGAAGAAGAAGGAGAAGGAGGGGGAGGGGGAGGAAGGAAGGAAGGAAGGAAGGAAGGAAGGAAAGAAGGAAGGAAGGAAGGAAGGAAGGAAGGAAGGAAGGAAGGAAGGAAGGAAGGAAGGAAGGAAGGAAGGAAGAAAGAATGAGTTTGGGTCATAGTTGTGGAGGTAGAGTCTGAGATCTGGAAGATATATTACCTTGAAACCCTTCTGTTAGAATTCTGAATGTGGTGGGATAATTTAGCAAACCAAATATCTTCAACTCATGAGCAAGCTAAGAATGGAAGAAGGGACTGACAACCAAATACACTCCTCTCAAAGGCTTCACCCAGTTCCTGGAGACCTTCTGCTGTCTTCTACTTCTCTAGGGTTCTCCCTGTTTAGAGTGCCACGAGCTGGGGTCTCAGGCTCTAACGCGTAGGGCTTTGATGTGCATGCTTCCGAACCAAACCATAACATAGTTGATATGAATGGAAGTAAAGAAGGGTGTGGGGTCAGCTAATATTGTGGTAGATCAACAAGTCATCTCATCTGACCTGGCGAAAGAAGATGCCTGTGTTCCCCTTAGCATTTATGAGGAGCATAGGGCAATACGAGGCTCATGTGAAGAATGAAAGCAATCATCATGACTAAGGTTGTTCCTTCTCCTCCCTTGATCACGTTATTAATTTTGTCTAAAATAACTGGGAAGTCTTAATATTACCTATTATACTTATCAAATTATATACCTACTTAGGAAGTAAAACACTCTACAAGCTAATCTTGTCTTGTCCTTCTGGAGTTTCCCCTTCCTTACCCACATACTCCTATTGGTCCCCATTTTTTCACACATAGTTTCAGGATAGTGTGGGAGGAGAATCAGGTGCTGAGCTTTAAAATGACTATACTATACCTGCACTCAGTCCACATAGTTTTCCATTGAGCTAAGAGAGGGTAATGGGGCAAGCTGTGTGGTGTGATGATGATGCAAATAGTGGCTTCCCACTTAGAAATGAGTTCAGCATATTACCTTGATATCAATTCTCTAGTTCATCAATGAAATCAAGAACCTATGGATTGTGGGAAACATCAAATGAGATAACAAAACAGCACAACATCCAGAAGTGCACGTGTGGGTTTGCATGTACATGCATGTGGAGGCCAGAAGTCAGTCCTGGGTGCTGGCCCTCAGGGGCTGCTCGCCTTGCTTTTTGAAACTGGTCCCTCACTAGGACTTGGGACTTGCCAGTTAGACCAGGCTGCCTGGAAGGCCAGCTCCAGGTATCTGCCTCCATCCCCTTCCTCAGCACTGAGATTACCAGCTTCTGCCACAATGCTTGGTTTTTGATGTGGTGCCGGGAATCAGACCCAGGTTCTCGTGTTTGAGCAGCAGACACTTTACCAGCTTGACCCTCACCCAGTCCCTCGTTTTTCTTTCAATTGAAACTAAGACTAAAGATTTTCCTGTGACTTGATACCTACTGTATTTTCTGTTGTTGCCTAACGTGTATGCCTTAATACATTACTTAAAATGTAGAAAACTTTGTTTGGGGCATTGGGCCAAAAGAAGAAAGGAAGAGTCTAATCTGACCTCTCAGTGTCTCCAGCCTCCCTGGCTCCCCTGCACACATTGGGTAATCCACAATTCAAATTTGACTCAAAAGAGAAAATACTAATCTTAATCTCTTCTTCTCCCTGTTATTTTAATTGTGTATATTTTGTTTCTAAACTTAGTTCTTTGGGAAAAACAGAATATGTTTACTACAGAAAAACACATCCTTTTAGCTTAGTAAGTTTGGAAGCAGAAGTCTGTCTCCATGGTGAGAAGATAGAGAAGGAGTGGTGTTAATAGACCTTACCACAGTGGCGGTTCGGGTTTTGAAGCATGAAAGAAAGCCTCCTTAGCCTCCCCCTAAAACAGTACCCTGAGCTATAAGTTGAGTTAAACTGGTGAAAGAGAAAGGAGCCAGTCATACCATGATAACTCAGAATGGCCCGGAAGCATGGGAAGCAGGCACGCCTGACCCCCAAACAGTTTATGGAAGCCTAATGAGTCCTCCACTGTTTAGGAGAAAAACTTTGAAAATATTTCTGAATGCTTAGTAACAGAATCACGGACTTGTAACCATGCGCTAATCCGTGGCTCCTGAGGTTGCCACAGTGGGACAGCATCAGTGTGCATAAGACCCTGCAAGGTAAGAATCAGCTGTCATTTCTGTTTCTTCTCCAGGCGAATTTCGGGCCCCAAGCAATCACTTCCTCTCTAGCCCTTCATGCCATGTCTAACAGAGTTTCTCTCCCTAGATTATTTTCCACACTGTGTTCTGGCAGGGTCTATTTATTCTTTCCTGTTTCTCCATGTGACTGAATGTCTACAGAGTTATTCAGGGGTAATATAATTTATTCCTTTTTAGTGGTTATAGTCTAAATTTCTTTAGCTATCTTTTGCTCTGTCCTTTGTTGCCCTGTTTGTATTATCTTAATTTTTTCTTTCCATTCATTTAAACGGTTGTTCCCTAAAATAAAAAGACTTTTAATATGCCTATTAATCTGACAAGATATTGATAAATATTAAATTTTATTTTAAGAATACATACATATATTTATATTAGTGGTATATTGCTTGTTCATATGAGTATGTAAGTGTAAGTGCATGCATGGACATGTGCCTCTGATGCCAGAGGTTGATGTTGAGTGTCGTACGTGTCCATGAATATGGGCACATATGTGTGTAAGCTCATGTATGGACATGTGCCTCTGATGCCAGAGGTTGATGTTGAGTGTC